TACTACTACTAACTAACTAACTACTAACTAACTACTACTAACTACTAACTAACTACTAACTAACTAACTAACTAACTAACTAACTACTAACTAACTACTACTAACTAACTAACTAACTAACTAACTAACTAACTAACTACTACTAACTACTAACTAACTAACTAACTAACTACTACTAACGAACTAACTAACTAACTAACTAACTAACTAACTAACTACTACCTAACTAACTAACTACTAACTAACTAACTAACTAACTAACTAACTAACTAACTAACTAACTAACTAACTAACTAACTAACTAACTAACTACTAACTAACTAACTAACTAACTAACTAACTAACTAACTACTAACTAACTAACTAACTAACTAACTAACTAACTAACTAACTAACTAACTACTAACTAACTAACTACTAACTACTAACTACTAACTAACTACTACTAACTACTAACTAACTAACTAACTAACTAACTAACTAACTAACTAACTAACTAACTAACTAACTAACTAACTAACTAACTAACTAACTAACTAACTAACTACTAACTAACTAACTAACTAACTAACTAACTAACTAACTACTAACTAACTAACTAACTAACTAACTAACTAACTAACTAACTAAACTAACTACTAACTACTAACTACTACTAACTAACTAACTAACTAACTAACTAACTAACTAACTAACTAACTAACTAACTAACTAACTAACTAACTAACTAACTAACTAACTAACTAACTACTAACTAACTAACTACTAACTAACTAACTAACTAACTACTAACTAACTAACTAACTAACTAACTAACTAACTAACTAACTAACTAACCTAACTAACTAACTAACTACTAACTAACTAACTAACTAACTAACTACTAACTACTACTAACTAACTAACTAACTAACTAACTAACTAACTAACTAACTAACTACTAACTAACTAACTAACTAACTAACTAACTAACTAACTAACTACTAACTAACTAACTAACTAACTAACTAACTAACTAACGAACTAACTAACTAACTAACTAACTACTAACTAACTAACTAACTAACTACTAACTAACTACTAACTACTAACTAACTAACTAACTAACTAACTAACTAACTAACTAACTACTAACTAACTAACTACTACTAACTAACTAACTAACTAACTACTAACTAACTAACTAACTAACTAACTAACTAACTAACTAACTACTAACTAACTAACTAACTAACTAACTAACTAACTAACTACTAACTAACTAACTAACTAACTAACTAACTAACTAACTAACTAACTAACTAACTAACTAACTAACTAACTAACTACTAACTAACTAACTAACTAACTAACTAACTAACTAACTAACTAACTAACTAACTAACTACTAACTAACTAACTAACTAACTAACTAACTAACTAACTAACTAACTACTAACTACTAACTAACTAACTAACTAACTAACTAACTAACTAACTAACTAACTACTAACTAACTAACTAACTAACTAACTAACTAACTAACTAACTACTAACTAACTACTAACTAACTAACTAACTAACTAACTAACTAACTAACTAACTAACTAACTAACTAACTAACTAACTAACTAACTAACTAACTAACTAACTAACTAACTAACTAACTAACTAACTAACTAACTAACTAACTAACTAACTAACTACTAACTAACTAACTAACTAACTAACTAACTAACTAACTAACTACTAACGAACTAACTACTAACTAACTAACTAACTAACTAACTAACTAACTAACTAACTAACTAACTAACTAACTAACTAACTAACTAACTAACTAACTAACTAACTAACTAACTAACTAACTAACTAACTAACTAACTAACTAACTAACTAACTAACTAACTAACTAACTAACTAACTAACTAACTAACTAACTAACTAACTAACTAACTAACTAACTAACTAACTAACTAACTAACTAACTACTAACTAACTAACTAACTAACTAACTAACTAACTAACTACTAACTAACTAACTACTACTAACTAACTAACTAACTACTAACTAACTAACTAACTAACTAACTAACTAACTAACTAACTAACTAACTAACTAACTAACTAACTAACTAACTAACTAACTAACTAACTAACTAACTAACTACTACTAACTAACTAACTAACTAACTAACTAACTAACTAACTAACTAACTAACTAACTAAAAAACTATAGTTGTGCGCACAATATATGTATGTATTAATGATGGGGTTATATTCTAAGGCGATCTAGCCATGTCCTCTGACAGTTTGTTTATTGAAAGCACAGTAGGGTACAAACGAGGGTAGACATTTTCCCATAAATATTCTCTAATAAGTGCTTAACTACTGAGATGCAAAATAGCACCGAACTTAATCGGAAATACCAGGACAAGATAAAGTACAACCTCTTCCCTATGACTTATAAATTTCCTTGGTACCGGTTTTAGTGGTTGCATGTCAAAGGGATTTCTCCAATAACCGGGTTAATAAAATATGAGAAACTCTGCACTGTGGGCTACCGCTTCTCGTGGTACGAGGTTATGTGGTTCTCTGGTTCGATTCCATGGCATTTCATTCCAAGGAAGGGATACATTTGATTATTACTAGTTCATAGTCCTGGCAGACCAGAGCTACTGATGTCACCTCTTTTCCCCATTATTGCAACAACACCAAGATGAAGGTCTTTTATTTAGGTAATATTCCCCCAGGATTTTCCGGTCTATTCGGAAAACCCCAACTCTCAACTCAACTCTATTCCTCAACTCTATTCCAGTCCATTTCTGTATTAGCCAACTCCAAACCTATCTACTCTATTCTAATCGATTGAAATTCAATCAATTCTAGTCATTATCCCATTCTAATGTAAATCTTTTGAACAATGCTACTACAAGTGTAATATTGAAATGTAATATGGCGCAGAAGAAGTTGAGATTTGCTTGAAGCGATTCGCCGCAACGAATAGCAATAGCATCTTACAAAATTACTTTTAAGAACTGCGAAAAGTGAGAATTACTTAGGAGATTATCGACCGCGATTCAGGGAATATAGCAACATAATTGACAAATGTCGAAATTAAGGAACCAGTATTATTATAGGGAGTTCCAAAGCAAATGGACTGAACTATCGAATTTAACTGAATTGCAAAGTATACATGGACGTACGAAAGACAGACGGACAGGCAAATGGAGAGACGGACAAACCTACTGATAGACAGACGGACGGATATGGCTTAATCCAATTTGAAAATGATTCTTTGATAATCACACCAAATGATTTAATTAACATTTTTGAATATAATAATTAGGTAGAATTTTAAAATGATTGAAATAATCAAAGTTTCTTTACTGTAAAATAACGCCTCCAAGAAAAAAACTTGAATAACAAAATAACGAAACAAAATTGATCATATTTATATATCTGAGCAAATAATTTAAAATCTTTGTTTTACAAAATTAGCAAAATATAAGGAAAAAAATCAATAATAAATCATATAATTTATAATAATAACAAATAAACTTTTTGCACATAACTAAAGAAAAACAGAAAATTAAAAAAAAGAATGCTAAACTCCCTCCTACTCTTAAATAAATGTTTTGCAACAAAAATGTAAGTGGCCCGGGACAACAATTGTACAATTGCATATAATAACGTGTCATTTGAAAATAAGCAAAAAGAAAAATTGCACAAGAAAACAAGACAACATATAAGACATCACAGCAACAACAACAATTACATTTGAGGCAAAAAACAAAAAGTTTTCATATAATTGCATGATAAAACGTTTAACCTTTAAAACAGCTGTTCTGTAAGCTTTTTTTTATACATTTCAACTACGTAGTTGCAGTGAAGGTAACGTAGTCAGTCGTACTATTATGATATGAAACGAACATGCTCATGCAGCAGGTGTAATTTCACTAGAATTTAATTTAGCGTGAAGAAAACAAAAAAGTAAAACCGAACAGCAAAAATAAGAAAAAACAAAAACTGCAGCAACATAATGGAAGCAACGCCAAAAGTACATCGTCATCGTCAAAGACGTACCGAATCACGTCATAGACGCAATGAACGACAGACAAACAACACAAGTAGTACTTCAGATAGTAAATCACCAGCACGTACCAACACAAACACTGACAACATATTACATGCCGAAGAGGGTACATGCTCGGGTAATGTTGTGGCTTCAGATGCTTTAATAGCAGCTGTGGCAACACGTCTGCTGCAAGAGCACGAACGTCAGACATCAAATGAGGATACAACAGAAACACTGGGCGGTCCAAGCTCTAGTCAAACATCTCAGTCCCAGCAAACGGTGGTTCTCGTTAACGGACATGCTCCCCAAGAGAATGCTGGTGCCGAAAGTCATACACATCATAACCACAGTCACAATACCGAAACCAATGAAAACAACGATCTTACAAAACCCTCAGAAGCAGATGCTAGTGAATTGGCCGCTACCGGTCCTCCCGATGGTCCCAGCAGTAGTCGCAATTCATCGGGTGATGCTATGAGTTTACGTGAAACTTTACAACAATTACCTCCCACCATAACAACGCATAGACATAGGCGCACCCTATCGCCCCACTCTCCCTCACGACGCGTTCACGAAACTGCAGCAGATGCTTCATTTGCCCGCGGTATTTTAGGTTTCATGGATCGTGAACTGAAACAATCCTCACCCACACCTTCGGCCCTAAGTGCCGGCAGTGGTGGTGGTGGTGTGGGACGTAAACATCAATCGCTATCTGATCCTACAGCTAGTCCAGCCCAAAGATCAATACGTTCTCGTAGTTCATTGGAAAAGAGTCCAAGACGTAAGCGCAGTAAATCTGAGTCTAGGCGTAGGCGTGAACGTAAGCTAATAGCGGCGGGCGAAATGGAGGTAAGACAGGCAAATGAAACACTCATGCGTTATCTGAAGCAGTGTTCGGAAATGAATGATGCTTCGCTGTCGGGTGAGCTGGAAATCGATCAGAGTCTGGAGGAGCGAAGAGTACATCGAAAGACGAAATCGCAGCGTGATAAAAGGGGTCATATAATAAGTAAGTATTTGTAGAATATAATTTTGTAATTTAAATTTAGGTTTAAAGTAATTTTAATGGGATATCGGGGAAGATGGGATATCTCAAGAAATATTTATATTATTGTGTAAAAATCGTTTAACCAATTGTATACTAATCCAATTTAGTCTAAGTCGTTGTTAATTAAGTTGAATCTATTCATATCGTTGCCAATTTCCACTGTTCGATTCGAATCAATTCAAATCCAATTAATCCAAACTCATCGACTCTACTTGAGTCAATTCCAATTTCATTGACTTTATTCCAGTCACTTACAATCAAATTTAATATATTCCAACAGAGTGCAGACTGATTAAAATCAAATAGGCTCCAATCTTTTAGATTCTATTTCAAAATACTTTGCTCAAGTCGTTTCTGACCTAATCTACTCTATTCGGGTCTTGCGATTTTAATCCAAAAGATTGTACTCAAGACATTTCAAACTTAATTTATTCATTCTATTTGAATCGATTGAAATAAAATTGACTCTATTCAAGTCGTTTCTAACCTAATCGAATATATCCAAGTCAATTCCAACCCAATCGACTGTAGTTTAGAGGATTCCAATCCTAATGACTGTGTATGAGTTAATTCCTATCAGACATTCCATCAGAAAATGGCCTGATTAAAATCCAATGAAAGTCGTTTCTAATCCAAACGACTCTATTAGATTTCAATCAAAGCGTTCATATTCGAATCGATTCAAATCAAATGGAATATTTTTTAGTTAATTCCAAATCAATCGTCTCTTTTCAAATCGATTTCAATCCAATCGATTGTAGTTTAAAAGATTCCAATATTGAAGTTACTTAATGAAATTCAAATCCAATCGCCTCGTTTGTAATGTAATCAACTCTATTCATGACGATTTCAACCCAAGCGTCTCTCGATTCAAATTAAATCGACCCTATCCAAGTCGATTATGAATCAATCGACTATAGTTTAGAAGATTTAAATTTAATCGACTCTATTGAAGAAAACTGCAATCCAATAGACTTCATTCAAGTCACTTCCAAATCAGTCGACCCTATTTAAGTCAATTCCAATTCCATTGTTTTTATCTAAGTCGTTTCTAATTCCGATTTATGTCGACTCTAATCTAATCGCCTCTATTTGAATCGCATTAAATATGGCAATTATATACCTATAAGCGGGACATTTATAAGGCAAGCAGTGAGGGTCCAAGATACCAAGCCTATTAAAGAAATTTTCCTTCTATTCTAGTCGAATCCAATCCAATAATGTGTATTAACTTAAGGTGTGTCATCGTGTATTACTGATGTAAAATCACTATTTAGTTAGTTGTTAGTAGTTAGTTAGTTCGTTAGTAGTGTTTAGTTAGTTAGTTAGTTAGTTAGTAGTTAGTTAGTAGTTAGTTAGTTAGTATTTAGTTAGTTAGTTAGTTAGTAGTTAGTTAGTTAGTAGTTAGCTTAGTTAGTTGTAGTTAGTTAGTTAGTTAGTTAGTTAGTTAGTTAGTTAGTTAGTTAGTTAGTAGTTAGTTAGTTAGTTAGTTAGTAGTTACGTAGTAGTTAGT